CATGCAAACCCTATTATCAAACATCTAGCAGTTGTATATTTGCAGAAATTTAAAGGTGCGGAAATTAAACTAAATTATTACAAGGCGTCGGGTATTTACATCGCCAAAAACAACCCTTTGAAAATAAAATAAAAGTGGTAAAAGTAAATGTCCTAATTAAATATTACAAACCGGGAGCAGATATAATAATTGAATAAAAAATAAAGCGCGCGATGCGGAATTAAATCGGATGTGAAATTAGGGTTTTGACCCTTCTAATAGAAAATGATATTTTTTGTTATTTTTATTTTTAAGAAAAGAAATTAAATCCTAAAATTAAATGCTAAATTAATTATTAAATTAATTAATTAATGAAAAATATTAAATGATATATTTTTGGAGTTTTTGTTATTTTAGGAAAGAAAATAAAATAATTATATTAATGTTGAAAACCTATTGATTTCTAATTAATTTTTAATTATTTGCGAAATAAATTAAAGTTACCTAATTAATCTACCTAATTAAATTAATTAATATTTATTAATGAAAAATAAAGTTCTAAAATTTAATTGGGTAAAAATATTTTTTTGTGATTTTTGATAAAAAAGGAAAATTGTTTAATCGTTAGTAATTAATTAAATAAAATAAAATAATTAAATGAAATAAACAAAATATAAGAAAAAGAGTGAGATGGGCCTGATTTTTAAGGGTGTGAATAGCGGTTTTCTGGACCATTTGATGAAGATCCATTTGACTTTTCTGATCCCATGCGTTTGCGTTGACTCGGTCCTTTGGTGCACCTTCAATGATGGCCACCAGATCTGGTCATCTGGCCATCTGGCACGTTTGATGCTGAAGGCATATGGTGGACACTTGGCTTGCATGTGCATTGGATTACCTGAAAACAAATATTATAGAGAAAATAGGGGGACCTGGGATTCGAACCCAGGTCCTGAGGCAAATTCCAATGGCTTGTAACCAGCTGGGATGTTGGTTCTTTTTGTATATATGCTAAGAATCAATTATAATATAAGAAGAAGAAAACATTAATGGACAAAAAGAAAAAAAATGCGCGCTCATTTGAATGGACGAATGGTGGGACGACACGCCTTCATCCCCTTCCTTGAACCGTGGCTAAAAGCAGCAACACTTATACCCACGGACAAATGTTCGTCACTATAACCCTGTCCCTTCTCAAAATCTCGTACAGGCCATGTAAATAAATTCTAAGACCATGGTTGAGGTCGTCTCATCCTACTGATTGTAACCATGCCCGTTATGAAGGCTAATTATTCCTGAAAACAAAAACCCTAAAAAACTCCAAGAAAACCTAATAATGGTGATTCACGATATAGGTCATATAAATGAAATTGGCTATTGGCAAAATCTTGCAAATGATATGGTGATCAAGAATATGCCATTATTTTACACAATGGATGCAAGAATAAAGCTAATCGAATTCAAGAAAAGGGTGATACCGTGATGGACTTACAGCGCGTGGGAGGGCTTGAAAACGTGTGGTTTTGCTTGCTTTAGGTTCCTGAGATTGCCAGGAAGAGATTGAGACAAGTACCAAGCCTTGAGGATGCCTCTAACCTCTGTTTCGATCTCACACTTTTTGCTTCTTTTTGCAAATTTTGTTCTTGCTCTATGCTTGATCTCCAACCTTGTTTTTGATATGCCCCGCCTCCTTATGTATTGCACAATGCATTAGGGTTGTTTATTCAGTCCAAATCTTCTTCTTTCAATGACTTTGGATTTGATTTGATTCTTCTTTAACAACCTTCCAAATTTGGCTTCTTTTCAATCTTTTTGTACACATATGGCTTGATGCGAATTTGAATGCCTTGCTAGCTGTAATTAGAGCCTGAAACAATCAAAAGATCCTTTGTTATCAATGCTTTGGATTTTTATTTGATTTATTTTGATTTAAATCAAATTAATTCAAATCAAAATCAAAATAATTAATAAAAATATGATATGGACAAGTGGACAAGGCTAGAGCACATGGGCTATGATTCCAACTCAAAACAAGTGAAAAAAATAGGCCCATTTGGCAAAATTTGATGTTTTTGGGGATAGTTGACTTTTGGCAATTTTGCAAAAAAGGTCAACTTCAACAATGCATAACTTCCTCAATTTTGAACCTTTGGAGGTGTTCTTGTACTTTTTAGAAATATTGAGCTGTCCTCTATTCAACCCATTTGGTCTCATCTCAATTTGATATTCCATGCTCAAGTATGAAGTTTTGACCAAAAAAAAGGTGTTTTTGTTGACTTTTCAAAATGACCTATAATGTCCAAATTCATAACTTCTTGTGAGTGCATATTTTGATCTTGGTAGATGAAGATGGATTGTAGGGGATTGCATCCTATTCAAAATGAGCTTTGGATGGGTCATTTATCATAAAGTATGAGAAAGTTATGCTTGGTCAAAGTTGGGTTGACTTTTCCTACAAAACCCTAATTTAGCAACTTTTGAATCTTGATGAATTGTGAACAATCCTTGATGAATCATGATCAAACCTTGATCAAATGATGAAATATACTTCAAAATGAGGATGTTTACGAAAAATCTTGATGTTTGGCTGTATGTAGGTCACAGTTGACTTTTGCCCTAGCACAGTCGATTTTTGGACCTTTGAGCAATTGACTAAGTAAAATTCCTCTGCAAGGCTTGAACCTTGACATGGATGATCTTGAGTAAATATTAGGATAATGTTGAGCATTTGGGACCACTTGGACTCAAGGATCTTGATGCAACATGAAACCCTAGTTTGGGGTAGACTGCCTTAGGAGAGAGCTTGTCTGGCCAACCCTTGGACTATCTTGAGCAACTTGAAGATTTTTCTTGAAATGTTTTGAGAAATATGGGAGGGAAAATTTTTGGGTACAACAACTGGCTATTAATAGTCTAGCAGATACAGATTGGCGAGCCCAATTATAGATTACCTCAAGAATCCTTCAGCAAATGCAGAGAGAAAAGTCAAATACTGTGCATTAAGTTATGTAGGTAATGGGAAATGAATTATTCAAGAAAGCCCCAGAAGGAGTGTTGCTTAAATTGTTGGGGGAAAGTGATGCATACTTAGCATTATCTAATGTGCATAGTGGGGCATGTGGAGCACATCAGGCTAGCCATAAGACGAAACGGTTATTATTTCGATATTGCATGTATTGGCCTACTATGTTTAAAGATTGTGTAGATTTTACTAAAGGTTACCAGGAATGTCAAGTTCATTCGGGTATTCGACATGCTCCTGCAAGTTAACTTTGTGCAATTGTCAAACCATGGCCCTTTAGAGGTTGGGCACTGGACTTGGTTAGAGAGATTCGACCAGCCTCATCCAAAGGTCAAAGATACATTTTGGTAGGAATACATTATTTTACAAAATGGATTGAGGTTGTGCCTTAGGTGAATGTAGATCAAGAGACTATCATTGAATTCATCCAAAGAGAGATAATTTATAGGTTTGGAATTCTAGAAAGTATTAAAACAGACCAAGGATCAGTTTTTACTGGACGAAAAATGCAAGAATTTGCTAAGGAAATGGGATTCAAACTACTAACCTCTACACTATACTATACTCAGGCAAACGGTCAAGTCAAAGCAACCAATTAAGTGATTATTGGTTTAATCAAAATACATGTGGGAAGAAAACCTAAGAATTGGCATAAGACATTAGACCAAGATTTGTGGCCTTGTCGAACGTCTCACATAGAAGCAAATAACACTACACCTTTTCAACTTACATTTGGGCATGATGAAGTTTTACCAGTTAGATCCATTTACAATCAGTGCAAATTCAAAGACAGAATGAGCCCCTTTTGAGTATTACTGGGAACTTATGATGAACGAACTAGTTGATCTAGATGAGGAAAGATTGCATGCTTTAGAAATTTTGAGAAGGAAAAAAGAAAGAATAGCCAACGCATACAATAAAAGAGTTAAAGGCAAGACTTTCTTAATAGATAATTTAGTTTGGAAAGTAATATTGCTTGTGGATCGAATGAATAGGATATTAGTAAAATGGTCCCCACATTGGGAAGACCCTTTTTGAATCATCCAAGTATTTTCAAACAAATCAAAGAGCTATCAGAAGATCAAAGGATCTTAAAGATAAATGGTAAATACTTGAAAAAGTATAAACCAATTATTTAGGAAGTTAAAGTTATGACATAATAAATGAAAAAACACAGTGAAGCCAAAATGGTAAGTGCAAATAAATATGCTAAAATGGCTATGTCACGAAGGTTACATTGTCAAATGAAAGAAAAGGCATATGAAGTCTAAAGTTACATAGAATTTTAAAAAGGCAAAGAAGCCTTCATCTTCTCATATTTCATATTCGCAAAACTTAACTTATACCCAATGGCAGCTTAAGCACTTTCAAGGTTAGCAATTTCCTCATTCATCTCAGTGGCCTTTTCCACATGGCTCGGGCTCTGCACAACAAGTTCAATTTTGTAACGGTTCATGCCTTTGATTGTTGCTTGTCGAGCCTCAGCTTGGGAATCTTTTCTTGCAACTCTTGGATATGCTTCTTCCAAATGGATATGGAATTGGCATATACATTGTAGTCTGCCTGTGCTGCTTTGTATGAAGTTTCTAATTTTTCAGCTTCTTGGGAAGTACTGAGGGAACTTTCCCATTCTTGGGCTTGAGCAGCTTGTTTTGCTTGAAGCTTCGATGCAACAACCCTTTCGCGATTATACTCAGCGCTTATTTGATCAATCAATTTTTGATGTCAATCAAGGCTTCACCAACATTAATTGGGAAAGCAATTATGTTCATCCGACTAATTAATTTCTTGAACTTATAACAGGCAGTGGCCTCCTTTTTAAGTACGTCAAACAAATCAGCTCCAAACATGCTTTATTTCACTTGTTGAAGAAGTTATTCGTAAGTGGCTTCATTGGTATATGTGCTTGATTTAATCGAAAGATTAGAATGACTCTTCTCAGAAGATGACCCTCATTTGGCCATCATCATCTTGACATACTCCAAGGGATTGTTTTTCTTCAAAGCTTCCTATTCTGCTTTAGAGAGAAATGTTGGGGAATAACTTTGTGTTTGCTGCGTCTTGGAAGTGGTATTGTCTTGGGATCCAGCCCGAACATGAATTTGTTCATCTTTGTTCCCTTGATCTTCCTGATTTTCTTTTTCCATTTCTTCGTTGTTATGAAAGTAATTTTCAATTTGATCTGTAAGACGATCTTCATCGTTAGGGAAATCATCAACAAACTTGGTCCTTTTGGGAGAAGAATCAATAGGGCTATCATCATGTTACCCTTCATCTTCGTTAATTCCCTTATCTGTATTTTGAAGATCTTTATGAGCATCTTCATTCTGGGAAGAAGGATCTTTTCCAATTAGAGCAACAGCAGTGTCAAGCTGATTGATTGCAGTCGAAGAGCCTTTGTTGAAGTCTATGTTGCTGGACAAAGGTTGATATGAAACAATACCACTTCTTAGAGGAACTTCATATTTAATGGGAGACTCAGTGGGAGTGAACAGTTTTTCCTGTAAAATAAAAAACACATCGGATAAAAGAATATTCATAATTGAAAATAAATGGCAACTAAAGTTATACCTTAAGTTCATCAAGATTCGAATTGTTGCTTTCGATCTGTTCCAGAATAAAGTCACAAGATAGCCGAGGCTTGTTTTCCTTCTTAGGCTTCGGAGGCACTATTTTGACTTCAATATTTTGGTTAATTGGCTGGTAAGAAGTTGTGTCAGAAGTCTTTTCCTTCTTCTGATTCTTCTTTTTTGTCTTCAGAGGAGTAGGATGAACTTCTTCTTCATCATCTTTGATCACCACTGGGCTTTCGCCAGTGGTCTTTATTTTCTTTGGAGATTTTTGAGGTAAGCCACTAACCTGGAAAACATTATAGTCAAAAGGAATATCCCAATACAAAAAACAAAAGGAAAAAGGGTTTCGAGTTGATACTTTATGCTCTTCAACTTTTTGGGATCTAGAGAATCATCTTTGGTTGAAGTGGTAGTTTGTTTGGAAGTGGTTGCAGAGCTTCTCTTTAAGGCAGGTTTTTCCTTCCTGACTATCTTCTTTTTGACACCTAAAATAAAGGATATTTTAAAATTGGTTAAATATTAATCATTGAAAAAGATGAAAAGAAATTGAAAGGACCAAGGAAATCCTTTGGTTCCACACCTTCACATGTTTGAGATCGAATAGAGACCGTTGATAGGTCATAGTGAAGGAAACCTTTGAACTTGTCTGATGTATGCTTAGTCAAAACCACTCTTTGGGCAGGTTTTAGAGACTCTTGTTTTAAAATATTGAAGATATTACCACAAACAAACCAATTTGGGTAAGAAGGATAAAATGCTAAGCCAAAGTCAGCATTAGGTAACTTTGGAAATTTCGGTGGCTGAAGTTTAAAGGCCAAGTCATATTTATCCTCTAGTTTAACACATGAGGGAATATTCTGGTGAGGTAGTTTTTTGGTATTCTCCCTTAAAGTTTTGGTTGTATCAAAGACGGTTCGACTAATATTAGTTGGACTATAGATAGTTTCAAAGTATTTCTGGAACGCCTCGATTTCTTTGATGTGTGTTTGCTTACCTTTTTGGACTCGATCCTACACAAATGTAAACACTTTGGTTAGATGCCTGCCAATGTAATCAGTATCAAACATATTTTTTGAGTTAAATTTGGTCCACTAAGAATGAAAATCCTTCGAGCAGTAGAATGTTGGTTGAAATGGAATGGGGTTGAACTCGGCAAAATTGGCATGATAAGCTTGATGCTTGTCAATGTATGGAAAGGTATATTTCACTCCTGCGATGCAAAGCTTGCGCTTTTGGCTGAAAATGGGCTTTAGGATAAGCTGGCATAAACCAAACTATCAAGAGACAAAGTTTGGCTGGTAGGATAGTAAGCAAACATGACTCTTTGTTGGCATAATTATGGAAACTATGAGTTTAGGAAGCAGAAATGCTCTCCAAACATCCATGATTTCAGTATCTGTATCTGGTGAAGTGCTAGCAAGTGGCCAGGTAAACCATTCTGGGCCATGTGTTCTATTAGCTAAAGGGCCATAGAAGAAGTAATGTTATGAAGTTTTAAGAACATCATAACATACTGGGTAAAGTAATCCTGGAAGTTCTTTGCATCATCATTGGGGGTTAGCTAAAGTAACCTGGTCCCTTTGACAATTCGATTTAAGATCTTAGGGTCTATCTCATATATTGTTCCAGAAGTAGAGAGTGAGGGTTCGAATGTAGCATTGAGCCACAACTGGAGAAGTCAGTATGGTCCAACTAATAACAAGTTGGTGCCAGGTTTATATCATTTCAGTTTGGAAGTGACAGATCCAAGGCTCTCATAAAGGCTGACCAAGATTAGTTCACTTAAGTATATCTTTCGACTAGAGTGTAGTTGGTTTGCTAGTGTAAGAAATATTCTGGCTACTTGTAAGGACTTGCAGCAGAAGATATATTTGGACAACCATAGCGCGAGGAAGGTTGTATGTTCGACATCAGAGACCTCATCCCCTTCGACATGGTAGAGGCTCATGTACTTAGTGAAGGCAGCATTCTCCACCTTGAAGTCAATAGTATTATCCTCTTGCTCATAGGGGTCAAAGGTTTCTTCAATAGGTGGAAGCCTAGTAATAGTGGTCACATCAAATAAAATGGGCGTTATCATCCCACAAGGGAGATGAAAGGTATTATATATTGTAACAGCCTGAGCCTTCAGCGTTCCCGGCACTATTACCTCATGATCTTCTCTACCCCCTCCCTAGTAGAGTTTTTGCCTTTCGTGGGAATCGAACCATGTACCCTGGGGTTCAAGTACATGCTTAATGCATTCCCACTACCAATTGAGCTACGTAGCTCAATTGGTAGTAGGAATGCATTGAGCATGTACTTGAACCCTAGGGTATAGGGTTCAATTCCCACGAAAGGTAAAAACTCTACTCGTGAGGGGGATAGAGAAGATTGTGAGGTAATAGTGTCGGGAACGCTAGCTCAATGGGTAGTGGGAATGCATTGAGCATGTACTTGAACCCCAGGGTACAGGGTTCGATTCACGCGAAAGGAAAAAACTCTACTAGTGAGGGAGGTAGAGAATATCGTGAGGTAATAGTGCCGAGAACGCTGAAGGCTCGGGCTGTTACATATATGCCATCCCAAAAGTACAGGGATACCAGTAGCAAAGGTTGGCAATAACTGAAGCTAATTTTTGACAATTGGATTAAGTCGAAAATGCCTATATCTTTCAAGGCTTGGGCTTTCTTCTTTTTAATTTTGGCCAACCAACCAAGGTATTGTTTGTCTAGGGAAGGACATGACCTAAAAGGCCTAAAGTTTTCAGTTACATAGTCGAACTGAAAAGGCTTTCTCTCAAATTTAAGAATTGAGGAGGTTTCTTTAAGAGCTCTATCCTTAGATTTTTTTTACTGGTTTCTTAAAAGAACTATCATCTTTCTCCTTATGGGGTTTTACTTTGTTGACTATGGGTTTGGTATCATGGTAAACAGGAAAAAATTCCTTGGTTGAAAAGCTGGATCGTTTGAAGTGGTTGTTTCCTTGTTCTTCGCATTCTTTGATTTGTTTTGTTTCGTGGATGGAACCATTGATGAAGATGGATGAATAGTTAAGAATGTTGGAGGAAAGGGGAGTGGAGATTGCTTGAATTTTCTTTTATGAAAATCGAGAATTTGCAGAAACGGGAAAAAGTGGTTTAGTGGAGAAGGTGAAGTATTTATAGCTGGAGTGTTCCAATGGGTTTTTAAAATCCTAGAGTTAGTGGGACACATGTTGTATTTTTCATAGAAGACAAAGAGGTTACTTGTGAAGAGTCACCTTGGAAACCAACTTGTAAATGGAAATGATGAACTGCTTCACGCCTGTTTGAATAGATGTTTTGGAAAAGACAATAATTAAATTTCATGACGTCACAACAGTAACTGACTAAGTGTGATGATTGTTGATATGTCTAAATACTATGTATTTTAAAAAAATGTATATTTCTTTTGGTGTAACGAAATACACATTTTTGGGGGAAATTTTTAGTTGGTATTTCAACAGTAGCTGGAAAGAGAAGATTAAGATGTTTTAGTTTGTGGAATTCGACTAGACGATTTCAGAAATGTCCAGCATTGTGAAAATAAAACAATTCAAATTAAGTTGTGTGTTTTTGAAGATTTTAAATTTGAAGTTATTTCATTGTAGCACGTTGGACACTTGGCGCTTCGAATAGAAGAGGGATTCGAATTTAAATAATTGATCTTATCCGAAAAGGGACGCGTGGATACCTGATATTCGAAGAAGGCATGCAAGGATCGAACGTGGAATATTTATGTAGAAGGACCGTTAGGGTCAAAGTAGTATAAATTAGGGTCTTAATGTTAGGATTTGGTGTGTTAAATTCTTGTACAAATCACTCAAAATACTCAAAGTACCAAGTGTTAAAGAGAAACGAGTTGCTGAGAAATGTACGTGTAAACACCATTGATTTTGTTTACCAGTTATTTGATATTATACATACAAGCTTTTATTTTTCTTTACATTCAAGTCGAAGTATTTATCTTTTCTTTTATTTTACTCCACTTTACATACATTATTCTGTCGAAAGTTATTTCAATCTTTGTTATCAAGTTATTTTTAGTTTAAACGTTTATTTTAACATTTATCATAGGAATATGAACTTTGTTGTGAATCAAACATCACAAACTTAGACACATGTCTTAGGATCAATCTAGTCGACCATGTGAGTAACCAAAACATTCGATTTGGAAGACTAGCGGTTGTTTACCAAATTTCAGTGTAAACAAAGCTCTGATTGAGAGATTCAAGGAAACAGCGATCAAAAATGATCAAGGGAAGAAGAATAAGATCACGATGGCGATGAATTATGTGAATGGAAATTTTAGAGCAATTCTACTAATTTTGAAAATAGATAACTATGTGAATTGGTGCAAGCAGATGAAGGTCATATTCTATTTTCAAGATCTTTGGGATCTTGTGAAAGATGGATTAGAAACGGTTGCAGACGATGCTTCAGAAGAAGAAGAAGAAGAAGAAGAAGAAGAAGAAGAAGAAGAAGAAGAAGAAACACATGAAGAATTAAAGAAGAAGAATCATAAAGCTCTCTTTGTAATTCATTAATGTCTGAGTCCAGACAATTTCGAAAAGATTAGTGACTCTGAATCTGTAAAAGAGGCATGGGAGATTCTTGAGAAATCTTTTGGAGGTGCAAAAAAGGTGAAAGGGGTGAGGTTACAAACCCACAAAAGAACGTATGAATTGCTTCAGATAGAAGATAGTGAAAGCATAACAGATTTCTTCACTAGGGTTACAAAACTAGTGGATATAA